CACATGGAGTAAAAAAAGAAAAAAGAGTGTCAGCCTGGGCCCTCCTTGGTCCTAGGCCCAATCCTCTGGTCTTCTGCTTGCGTTGGTCATCTACGAATATCCAAACTTCTTGTGACCAGAGTCTCAACGTTTAACTTCCTGCGTTCTTTCGTTTCCAACTCTTCCGAAAAGGCACCAGCCTTCAAGTTTTCATTTGGGCCAAAAACTTTTGCGCCCGGAGAAGTGGTGACTAGTACCACTGAATGGGCCTAAAGTAATTGGGCTAACAACCCATGCCTCTACCGACCCATCACCATTAATATCATTATAGTAGGTTTTTTTTCAACAAGGGGTACTTTTGAAACCTAATTATTTCTCAACTAAGGGTAGTTTCAAACTTATTTATCGTATTTTCCTCCTTGTCATCTAATCTACAATGCAATTTGCCATGTTACCTGTCCCCGCTGCTTACATTCACCCAACTCTCGTTTGAGTTGATGTATTCTAGGACCATTAATAACATAAAATGTGACTTCTCCCACAATTCACATGCCATCTCCTAGTGTAAAATCGCTAAGCGAATAGAAGTATCAATGGTATTCCAAATCCAAGAGACAATGGTATTCCGAATCCAAGAGACGGGGTTATTAGACCACCAATCTTCCAAATCAAGATAGTGATGGTCAGGTTTGGGAATGAATGGTCCTATCGATGAAGCCAAATTTCTTTCGAGCTCGTAGCGCTGTTCATATAACTTTGGCCCACTCTTCATAGTTGTCCCCTTTAAGAGAAACTTGGGTGATAATCACCCTAGGATTATCACCTGCTATTAGATCATAAGGTGATATCGTTCGCCTTTGAGAAGCGACACTCATTTGCCTTTCTGGTTCCACAGTGTGAGATGAATTGACGTCGTCATCTTCAGACCTAGCAGGCTAGCAATAGCAACCCAAAGTTGAAAGGTTTACAAGATCGGAAATGAGAAGAGTTTCATTCGAATCATGTCGCCCCTCACCACTTCATTACACATATACTCCGTATATACTACTATTGCATGAAAAATTTCAGGTCCTAAATTGATAAAATTATTTTTTGTAATTAATTTTCTTTCCGTGTGAAGTTGATACCAATATATATATGAACATTTGACTTACAATGAAAGCCATCGTCAAACAGCAGTATACCAACTCCCATGGTTGACTAATGTAATGCTCTAATAATTTATTATCATCCACAACACTTGTGGGTCTTTATCAGTGCACTTATTTCTGTTAACATATTTCATGATTGGAAATTTGGAATCTAAAAAGTACCGAATACGAAGTATGTCCGAAGATAGTTTTTATTAATGATGATTCGGAAAGAAGCTAAAAAGTCAAGTTGGCAATAGAGCCAAAACAAAGAGAACAAATCACGCACTCCACGATTCTATAAAGATTTGTCAAAAACATACCCGCACGAGTAGCTTAGTTGATCGAGTGATGGGAAAATTGGATCAAATGATCAAGGATCGAAACCCGTAGCGGCCGTGTGGAGGTTACAGAATCTGAAATAAGACTGGACCTCTGGTGCGCACGTGTATAAGGCCTACCGCCGCTTTGCTGACTGAGTCACCGTGATTAACCTCAGGGGCGGCTTTGAGGGCAGTTGGGCCAGGCAACTGCCTTGAGCCTCAACTACCAAGGGGGCCTCCAAAAAATTCTACTCTCGTATTAGTATTAGGTGTTATTCGCAGACCGCCAATACACCAAGCGGCAACTGCAAGCAAAAATCAGCTTTATAGTTCACTTTTGACTATTCGTCCTTCATCAAAGTTGTAGCTAATGAAGTCTTCTATCCAACACAACTTGCAAAATTGGATTTGAATCATCCAATAAAAATATATGAATAAAATGGTGGAAGGTCGCATTCTGAAATCTCAACAGAGATTGTCTGACTTTATCGTCTGTTTTCACCTTGCTTCTCTCAGATTCTCACAATGGTGTCTTCATATGATTTTCAGCCCTTGAAGTTGGCTTTCATATGAAACTTGAATCATGTTTTTTGGATGTTCCTAAGAAAAGATATGCTTGAACGATTGTCAGAACGTCATTCTGACCGTTGTTTTCAAACTCTATTCGTCTTCTTTTGATCCTGTAGCCAATTATAGAGCTCTTTTGTCTTCAAAACTTTGTCTTTAACACCTCACTGATCTCCAATGCTCCTAATCAACTCTAAAATGCTTCTCGACTCGTCCCTATTGCTTCTCAAACACCGGTGTCAGGCTCAAATTTCCTGATTTTGACTCCAAAAATACCAAAACTCGAACCAACGTCCGGTAAATATGACTTGAGCTTAAAATTGAAACTTATGACACCTTAAAGTTAGGAAAAAACTATCAAAAGCCGATCTCAACATGCATCAACGTCCAACACAGACCGCTAATCGGCTACTGTATATATGCCTCACTGTCCACCGTCGACATGGGTCCTTGGTTAGTGAATCAACTAAGACTCTTCAGCTCTTCTCTCTGAGTCTCGTTCTTGAAGTCTCTTAATACTTTTACAAGTACAAATTTGCCTTGTGTTTTGAATAAGTTTGCATTTTAAAATTTATCCTTTTGAATATTACAAACATTATATCGTGGACTTTGAATATGCTTTTTTTCATAAGGCGATTTTTATTCAATTTATCTGATTTTAAAAGTGATTTGTACATAGTAAATATTTTTCATCTGGGGCCTCCAAAATGCTCAAGCCGCCTCTGATTAACCTCCCCACCATCCTGTCAGGTCGGGGTGGGGGGCCTTGGGGTTGGGCATTCAACCTTTTTGGACCAAGATTTGTAAAAAGCATGTCAATATATTTTCATGTTTTTTGTGGAGTTTTATCAATCAAATTTTTCATCACGTATAAATTTTTATTTCACCCACTAAATTATGTGATAATCAAAATAAGCAGGGATGGAATTAAGGGGGGGCGCGGGGGGCGACCGCCCCCCTTGGACTTTCAAAATTTTCTATTGTATATGTAATATTTTCGTAAAATTTTCATACTTTAATTAGATTCGCCCCCCTTAACTTTTAGTTTTAAAAATTAATATATAGTCTTACATAATGTAACACTTAATTAGAGATTTAAAAGAAGAAACTTCTAAAATAATTTACATAACTTAAATAAATAAACAATAGAACAACTCATTGTTAAAGATTTAAGATACTTACTATATAAAAATTCTTAGTTTTGTAATGTTTAATTATCTTTATTAGATAACTAGTAAACAATGTTGTAAAATATATATCAAACAATATTAAATACCAGACAAACTATTTACACAGTTTTTAGATCATGTGAAGCGAATCCAACTTATAAATGTTTATTGAATTAAATTACACAATTCATTTACTTCTTACGTTTTAAAAAGACTTTATTGCATAGATAATAAAATTTAGTTATTTAAGCAAATATAATATGCACTATATATATTATATATGAATTAGCAATATAATATTATTCTAAAAATAATAATCTCATACACACTATTGTAATATTAAGAAAACTCCTTGTGACTCATGAACACCCTCCTTGGTAGACAAAAATTGTAATTCAAAAACCAATTCTTTATTTCTATAAGATTCACGTAGTTCAACAATGTTCAAATTATTTTAAAAGTATTGGTGAATGTGTACCTTATAAACTCTATCTTTAAGAGGAAGCGGTCCAGCTCAGCTGGTCGCCGATTCACTCTCCCTTACGAGAGGTCTCGGGTTCGAAACTCAATGGAGTGAGTTTCAGCCCTCATTACTCCAGGCCCCCCAGACCCCTCTCTCAGACGCCCCTTGGAGTAAAAAAAACTATTAAAAAAACTCTTTATCTTTAAATAAAATGTTATATATCCTTTTTTATTTTCAAATTATTTTTCTTTGATTTGCCATTTCTTACGCTTTAATGCAACAATACTTTTTTTAGAGCACTCCAATTATAAAATTAAAGTTATTTTGCCATTGTCTAAACTTAGAATGTAATATATAGATTTAAATATCATCATGTATGTATAATGAATTCTTTTGAATAAATATAGCCGCAAAGGCTTACCCTAGTGAAAAAATTTTGCCCTGCTACACTAGCAAAAAAATCCATCTCTAGTGATTTTTTTAACCTCCTACACTAACAAAAAATTTCGCCTCCCTTGACTCGAAATTCTTGATCCGTCTCTGAAAATAAGTAACATTGAAATTATTATTCTAGTTGAATTGATTGAAGATTTGAAGTTAGTGTAAAAGAAGATTTGAACTATTTTTCATGTAATTTTTAATTTATTTTATTAATAGAATATACTTCTTCCGTTCTTTTTTAGTTGCAACGGTCCACTTTGCACATTTGTCAACGCACACCTTTGACCATAAATAGATATTGAAAATTTTTAAGGAGATAACTGAACAATATATTTTTTAAAAAATAATTCTCATAAATTAATAAATAAAAATGTATTCAAAGTAGAGCATACGAATAGTTTAAAATTCAACATATTGCAACTAAAAAAGAACGGGAAATAATATATTTTTATATACGTTTTCATAATTCAACAAATTCAGTCAATTCAACCGTTTTACCAGCAATTTAATCATTTATCATGGAAATCAATTGATTCAACCAATTTGAGTGTTACAGGTAGAATGGGTTCTTAATATTTTAGAAAAACGAGCATGCCATCAATTAAACTATCATAAACTAAAATAGAAAATTATATGGTCAGGAGTGATTTTTGTTGTATTATAATTATTAGTTTGGATATCGTTTATTAACCTCTAAAGTTCATGTTTTTTTTTGAAAATATTAGGCAACCTCTTGCAAATTACATTTCTTAAAAGCTAAAATGTCCTATAACATTTATTGAGCACCCTCTCATTGTAAGAAGCATGTCAAAAATAAGACAAAATAACATTTAAGAAACACAATAAATCTTTTGATTTATAACAAAAAAATCGTAGTATTTTCCAATTTTCCCAATACAAAGTATTGTTTCGTTTCCTAATATGAACTATTGTTTCTACAATAGAAAGTATAAAATGCTATTTACAATAAGTAATACAGAATTAATTGACTGACAGCATAAAATGGTAAACCCTATAAATTTGAATATTGAACTCTATTCACAAAATACAAAAAACTTGAAGCATAAAATACACTGATAGTGTATAACCATTATTGAATCTAAATATCTAATGGGAAAACAAAATTTCCCCTTGCTGTTAAGATATAACTTAAGAAAGAAATGCTCTTTCCTCAGAAATGGCCTTTGCCAATTAGCCACAACCAATCAAGAGCCACCCCAGAAAATATGCCAGCAAGAAGGCACAGAACAAGAATATTCCCCAATGCATTTGCCTCTGGTCCCTATATAAGAACAAGAAAAGAAAAAGTTTCAATCTTTAAAGAACTGGAAAGATTAATTATCACCACCAACAAAAACAATCATATGAAGATGATTATTCAGAGCAATCAAAACCAACCTTGTAACCTTTAGGAGCAGTAGTGAGGACACAGACTGTGAGATGACCGTTAGTTAATCCTAGGAAAGATACAAGCGCTATCATCCATCCCTGATCACCATACTTAGCAGTGAAATAGAAACACGGGATCAGCAAGAAACGTGACAATATTGATATCATTAGTCCCTTTCGGGATTTTAATGCAATTTTCTTGATCATTGGAGTGTATCTTGATATCAGGTCCCACACGTTATACATAGCTATCAGAACAAGAGGATACCTACAAAAAGAGATGTGTTAAGAATAAAGTTGCATATATGATCTGACACACTTGTTAAGACGTTTGACTCAACATGGAACTGTGTGGTTGAGATTTGGGTTGAAGTGATTCAAATTTTAAGATCCTTATATTCTTTTCAATAATAGAACAAATGAATACAAGTATTATCTTTGGACAGACCGGAAAGGAACACAACAAGATAAATTCACGACTGAATTGAAAGGAATGTGATTCCTCTTTACCATGATCCAAGCTTGTGTGTTCCAGTATTCTCATATAAAAATCCAGGGAAAATGGATAATGTCAGAACGTATATGAGGTAGAGGTCTAGTCCATAATCAATGTTTTTCAAGAACAACTCCTTGTTGCTCAGCCTCTGCACTTGTTTGGTACCATCAGCCTGTACACATTATTCTAAAACTTAAAATCAACTCTAGCAAATTAAGGGCCTATTTGGTAAGAGAATTATTCGGCTAAGAAGTTTAATCTGCTAAACTTTCCGAAAAGATAAAAAGTTTGATAACATCCCCTTTGACCAAATAAGTCAAAAGTTAACTATTCTGGTCATAAGAATAATAAGTCAGGCAAAGCTGCCAAATGAAACCTTAGAGGGGAATAGGGTCACTTACTGCATTTGTTTGAATTCCCGCTGCAGCTAAATCAGCAGCAACAGTTTTTAATCCCTCAGAAGCTGCCTTTGAGCGATAGTACTTCACAATAGGTAATTTTGGGAAGACAAGTCCATAGAGAATGATGCATATGAATTCAAAGAATGTGGAGATTGCCAGAAACAGAACTGCAGAAGACATTAGTATAAATAGGATTCAAACCCAATGGTTTAATCTAAGATTGTGCAATAGCAGGACGAAAGTGAAACTTACTAACTCCTTTCCGGAGACCATTGTTGGAGCCTTCGAAAGCAGCTTTCGTCACCAACCTCAGGACAGAAGTAAGCGCTCCCGAAGCAGCTAAACCAGCTAAGTATGACTGCAATAAAATCCCAAATTATATTTGAGAAATAAAAAAGCACTCTTTAATAACAATAACAAATACAATAAAAATAAAAATACCTGGAGGAATTCAGGGCACATGAGAGAGAGGTCTCCAACAAGTCCACCCTGAACAAGGGCATCAGCAACTCCAAAGAATGCAACAAGAACACAAATTCCCATGAAATTTCCAATCCCACCCTTCCCAGATGTGCCTAAATCCAACTGCATCAATTTGAATGAACTACACATCAATATGGTCTTAAAAAACACAGCAAAACTTATGAGAATGGAATGACAGATTTAATAATGAATATATACCATTAGGAGTGAAAAGGTGGCCAGACTGAACAGGGTATACCCTGCTAAATTTCTGATCCTAGTATTGATCTTTTCATCTTTATATGCAAGTATTGCCATTGTTCCAATTGCAAAAGGTTGATAAACCAGGGTAAGCACCCTTGATGGATGATAATTCTGAATAAACACGAAAAAATCAAATTAATTCTCCTTTTTACACTATATTATTAACCGTAAATAAATTTGGACACCCATTCATCCATTAAAGATGGAGAGATTCTCACAGGAAATAACTGATAATAGTAATCTCCTATGGTGAGCATGCTATTCCAAGCCACAAGAGAACCAAGCCCAAGAAAGAAGCATACTGTCGTTCCTATCGGTTTCCCCTGAAATTCGAAAACCCTTTTTGATTATTTTAAGATAACATAATTTCAGACATTCACAGAAGGAAAAAAATTAAAGCTTTCTTGAATGACAATAAAAACAATAACCTTAAGCCTGGTTGGAGTTCCTGGTAATTCGTCAATAACAACGCTAGTCATCTCTGCGTAATTGCTCTGTAACAAGAACTATTCGCTACTCCTATAAATCGTTTTTATGATTCGAAAGATAGGAATTTCATAACAATAATTAGATGTGAAAAGGAGAAGAAATTCGCCTACCTCCAGTATGGGTTGGGCGGGCGTTATGCGTTGACAGCAAAGTGTGAATAAAAGGAAGATTCTTGATGTGCTAATTAGAAATCAGATTCTTCAGAATCTCTTAAGGATCATTGACGATTAAAATTTCTTTATTTACTTCAGATTCTTGACGATTAGGGCTAAATACTCTGTAAATATTTGCGCGCGTCTCCCGTTCCAGCTAGAGAGTGAGAGTATGAAGTAGTCTGGGAGAAGGGAAACCGGTTACAGAAAATATCGCAATTTTCTAGGCAAAAACTATCTTGGCATAAAGGCGGACAGCTGGTTTTACGATTGTGCATTAAAAACTTAGGGAGTATGTAAAATGTAAAATATTAGGGTTATGTTTGTCTCCCTCTCTTCTAATTTTCTTACTATTTAAAAAGTTTTATGTTTTGGCGTTCCTAATTTTAAGAGCTTTTGTAAAAATAAAAGATTTTTTTAGATGCTACAGTGAGTAGCATCTCAGATAAGTCAGTAGCTTCTATTATTGATTAGTCTTAACAGTTTGTATATCAAACAAAGCTAAATCAAACAGTCAGTTTTTTATCAAACATGTACTGCCTTTTCTTTTTAAGATTTTTCAGTCATTAAAAGCTAACCATTACTAAAAAGCTCATAAACGTATCTTTTCAGCTAGTTTTGCCAAACATACCCTAGGTTGTCGATATATAGGGCTAGTTTGGTACTCAATAGAGATAGAATTTTCCCTTTATTTAAGTATGCTTCATTGCTAGATTGCTTTGATCTTGGACCCAAATAAATATAAGTACACAAATCTTGACTAGAATTATTTTAAATACAAAAAAGTACAATAGCACGAGTTCATTGGTTCTTTCCTACGAGAATTCGAAAACGTTTACTAACGTTTTAAGTAAATCGCATCACGTATTAATTCGTAAAGTCTTCCTAAATGCATGTCTTTGTCAATTGCCTAAAAAAATAGCACGAGTTCGACATGTATATATTGATTCAGGTCGTTTAATTTGGTGACTTTGGGCATGTTTGGCTAACTCGTTAACCTAATTCGCTATCAACTAACCGTTAAATATCAAACATGCTCATAGTCTAATAATACATAATAGTGAATTTAATTTTATTAAGCTTAAACAAAATCAAAGAATGTTATTTCAAAAAATGTAACAATATTTTCGAAATTTCACAGCAGGACTAAAATTTATATTTATGAATTCGAAGTGGTTCTTTTACAAGGGAAAAATAATAATTTTGCTATTTAAAATTAAAGAATTAATATTTTAATATAAAAATAAATATTTATTTTTTACTCTTTAATATTTTTATTATTCAATTTCATTTAAATTTATGATTTTTTTTTAAAATTTATTTTATTCATTTAAAATTATTAAGGGGAAATTTGATACTTTGTTTACCTTTTAAAAATATGGATATATTTGCACCTGCACATGCCACATAGGGGTGGACTGAATCGGGCCGAATTGGGCCGTGAACCGGACCGGCCCGCTACTGTGCTGGCCCGGACCAGACCGGGACCGGATGGCCGGTTCTGGGCTTAAGCCTAGGTTGGGCGGGCCTGGCGGGCCGCGCTCGGGCCCTGTTTTTCTTGAACCGGCCCGGGCGGTCCGAGCGGTACCCGGTTCATTTTTTTTCAATTTTTTTATTTTCCTTGGGTAGGGCTGGGTGTTTTGAGGAGGTTTGAGGGGTGGGGATGAGGGGGGGGGGGGGTTAATTAGAAAGCAAATAAAAAGAATTATACATTCGACCGGTCCGACCCGATTTGGCCTGGACCCAGTATCAACCCGGGCCGGTTCCAGGCCCAACATCTGAAAAAAGCCCGGCTTCAACTGGCCGGGAGTCCGGCATACTGCACGACATGTAGTGCAGGCCTAGTTCCCGATCTGCCCTATGGATATCTGTCATGTTGCCTGCTCCTGCCGCTGAGCTCACCTCTGTTACCAACCACTTATTATCCAGAGAGGAGAGAGGTTTCGTTCCTCCCGCACACAACCCCAAGCCAAAAGGTTTGGTAAAGCTTTATCCCATTTCTCATACATTAATGGACATAATGTCTCTGTGTGTCCAATGACTCCACAAACAAAGCAGAAACTTGGAAGCTTTTCATACTTTAAATCTACCCAAGAACCCTCCTCTTTACTTTTCTTAATGGTAGTGCCAACTTTTAAGGGTTTTCGTACATCCAAACAAACTTGAACCCTCATGTAAGCCTCCCACTTATCATCGAATCGATTATCATTATACCTAACAAATTTTTCTAGATAAATCCCAACTCTCCTAGAAGTTCCCATATTAGAGTAACCATACGGTACGTTGTGCACTTGTACCCAGAACTCAGCCGAATCCAAGGGTACCGTTAAGTGGGATATCTCCCGACTTAATGCTCCTTAACTCCAGCAAATTATGATCAAACAACCGTGACCCATTATCTAGAACACCATTCATGTCAACAATATGGTATAATTTATGAGGTACATTTTTTCACCAATTTCTTTGATGGAGACCCCCTTGCCTAGACGCCAAAGAACCGCCATGAGGTCTCTCAAGATTTGAAACTTTACCATCTTATCTGTGAGTAATAAGCCGACCACCGGATACACACAATATTTTGAAAAGGATACCTTAACCAACTTTATTTTGATCACATCTACTAAACTCATTTCAATTAATAGAATGTGAATTATGATGTCACATCAATGCACATTTTTAACCACTATAATTATAATTAGCTTCCTGTAATGCGTATTTGTTTTAAGTGTTACACTCACATAAGTATAACATAAAACTTATACTCCGTATAATTTATATCACTCACACACACGTAATTAACTTTGTTCTCATTTTAATAATGTGAAATAAAACAATTTTAGCAAGAAAAATAATTCATAATTCCTTATTTTAGACCTACCAATTTTATTGTATTATTTTATAAAATTACATCAATGCATATTTAATTTAAACGATAAACTCATAATTATTTAGAAGGTTGAAATTTTTATAGGAAGAGAGAGAATACATCGACTTTTTTATAAAATTGGAATTCAATATTAAATTTTGAAAGAATTGACATTAAATTAGGAGTTTTTTTCCGAAATACTGCTAATTAAATAAATAATTCCCAAAATACTGTTGGGTTAAAAATAATTCCGAAAATACTGTTGGATTAACTAGGGTTAAAGAAAAGTGTCGGCTTTTGTCTAACGCTACATTTTTTGGCGGCTTTCCAAAAAATGACGCATCGACAAATAACAATGATGTATAGAAATTAGTTCAAATAGGACTAAAACTATGGCAAAAACCTAAAATATGACTATGGCAAAAACCTACAATAAAATTGGTAGGTCTAAAATAAGGAATTATGAATTATTTTTCTTGCTAAAATTGTTATATTTCACATTATTAAAATGAGAACAAAGTTAATTACATCAATTAGCATGCTATGTTTTTATTGACCATATGAGTCCTATTGGAAACATACCTATTTTTGCATTCCATTCTTACCCTTCCATTAAATATGAATTAAAAATAGTCAAAAGCCATAATTAAATGTTTAATTCATAATAAATTCGAAAAAAATTCAAAAATTCGTAGAAATATAATTAAAAATTTATAAAATTTTTATAAAATAAAAAATTCAAAAACCTTTTTTTTAAATAATTTTATTTTTAAAAAAATTAATAAAAAATAGAAAAACTCCGTAAAAAAATTTAAAAAAATATGGATGCCTTTCCCACCGCTTGTACTACCTCCCAGCACCATCACCTCCGGCCGATGAAAAAAATGCCATTTTCCCAGAAAAATGCCATTTATTTCTGAAAATGCCAAAAAAGTGGCATATTTCTCTTTTCTAATGCCAACATTTTCATTTTTTTCTGCCATAAATATGGCATTCGTAATGAACTTGGCATTTTTTTCCCCTGGTGACTGGAGGTGGTGGTGCTGAGGCGGCAGAGGCGGCGGCGATTTTTTTTTGAGTTTTTTATTTTATTTTATTTTTTTTTATTTTTTTAATTTTTTGAAAAAACAAATTAATTAAATTTTTAATATCGAAATGTTTTTTTTAATTTTTTAGTATTTTTTACGAATTTTTATTATTTTTTATTATTTTATTAGGAATTAAAACATTTTAATAGGTATAAGGGTATAATTGTCCAAGGTACACATAATTAGTCTTATGCAAACATAGTTTATTTTTTGGTCCTATTTGTGAAAAGTGAATAACTTTTAGTCTTATTTTGATAATTAATTCAATGATGTAATGCCAAAGTCAATGATAATGGGTCCCGTCTAAACTAAAAATCTCTCGTTTTCTTTGAAATGCTATAATTTTTTTATTTGTACTCTTATTGTTACAAAAAATATACCAAAATTCATAACTTTTTATTATCTTTCATATGACACCAATATTGAATATATAAAATCAAAAAATAAATTAACACTTTAAAAATTACTGCGTATCTGTTTTAAAGTGTTATATACTCTTTTTTATTTGTACTCCGATTATTATAAAAAAAATATCAAAATTTATTACTTTTTTTAATATTTTATAGGAAAGCAATGTTTCATATAGAAAAAAAATCTATTAATTTGTGTAGTTTATGATCGTTTTTTACCATGCACACAATTAATCAAGAGTGATAGATTAAAACAAAATTACACAAACTTCATCACATTTATTGACGGAGTATTTATTTATTTTTCGCACAAGAATTTATGTTGTTTTATTTCATATGACATCAATAATGAATATATAAAAATCTACACAAATTAATAGATTTTTTTCTATATGAAACATTGCTTTCCTATAAAATATAATAAAAAATAATAAGTATTGATATTTTTTGTAATAATCGGAATACAAATAAAAAAAATATAACACTTTAAAACGGATACGCAGTAATTTTTAAAGTGTTAATTTATTTTCTGATTTTATATATTCAATATTGGTGTCATATAAAAGATAATAAAAAGTTATGATTTTTGGTATATTTTTTGTAACAATCAGAGTACAAATAAAAAAGTTATAGCACTTCAAAGAAAATTTGGCATGTATCGTTGACTTTGGCATTACATTGTGGTTAGTTGCCGATGCCTAATTTTTGAGAAAGCCGAGGTGGCCGCTCTTCACGGCTTTCCTTAACTTGGTTAATCCGGCAATATTTTGGGAATTATTTTTAACTCAACAGTATTTTATTTATTTAATTAGCAGTAT